ATGCCTTCGGGTCGGGGAACGGGTCCTGACTGTTGTTTGTGCTTATGGACCAAATATCAGTTCAGATTACCCACCCTTTTTGGAGTCCCTGGGACGAGTACAAGATAGTGCTCCGTCAGGGGACTCCATTGTCCTGCTGGGGGACTTCAATGCTCACGTGGGCAATGACAGCATGACCTGGAGGGGTGTGATTGGGAGAAACGGCCCGCCTGATCTGAACTTGAGTGGTGTTTCGTTATTGGACTTCTGTGCAAGCCGCAGTTTGGCCATAACGAACACCATGTTCGAACATAAGGATGCCCATCGGTACACTTGGTACCAGGGCAGCCTAGGTCGCAGGTCGATGATAGACTTTGTAGTTGTGTCATCTGATCTGCGGCCAAATGTTTTGGACACCCGAGCGAAGAGAGGAGCGGAGCTATCAACTAATCACCACCTGGTGATGAGTTGGATCAGATGGCAGGGGAAGATGCCGCGTAGACCTGGCAAAACCAAACGCATAGTGAGGATCTGCTGGGAACGCTTGGCAGAAGAACCTGTCAAGACAGACTTCAACTCCCACCTCCGGCTGAGCTTTGATCATGTCCCGAGAGCCGTAGGGGACATCGGCGCCGAGTGGGCCTTGTTCCACTGTGCGATTGTTGAGGTGGCTGTTGCTAGCTGTGGTTGCAAGATGGCCGGTGCCAGTCGTGGTGGCAACCCCCGTACTCATTGGTGGACACCAGAGGTTCGGGGAGCCGTCAGGCTGAAGGAGGAGGCCTACAGGGCGTGGCTGGTCTGTGGGTCTCCGGAGGCAGCAGACGGGTACCGGATAGCCAAGCTGGGTGCAGCAGTGGCAGTTGCCGAGGCAAACTAGGGCATGGGAAGAGTTTGGTGAGGTCATGGAGAAAGACTATCGATCGGCGCCAAAGAGGTTCTGGCAAACTGTCCGGCGCCTCAGGAGAGGAAGGCAGCAACTCGGTCACACAGTTCACAGTGGGGATGGGGAGCTGCTGACGTCACCTGGGGCTATAGTCGGGCGGTGGAAGGAATACTTTGAGGAGCTTCTCAATCCCACCAACGCGCATTCCAAAGAGGAGCCAGAGCCAGGAGACCTGGGGATGGACTGTCCAATCTCTGGGGCAGAAGTTGCTGAGGTAGTCAAACAACTACACAGCGGCGGAGCCCCGGGGGTGGATGAGATTCGTCCTGGGTATCTCAAGGCTATGGATGTAGTAGGGCTGTCATGGTTGACACGTCTCTGCAATATTGTGTGGTCATCGGGGGCAGTTCCTGTGGAGTGGCAGACCGGGGTGGTGGTCCCCATCTTTAGGAAGGGTGACCGGAGTGTGTGTTCCAACTATAGGGGGATCACACTCCTCAGCCTCCCTGGAAAGGTCTACTCCAAGGTACTGGAGAGGAGGGTCCAATCGATAGTTGAATCTCAGATTGAGGAGGAGCAATGTGGTTTTCGTCCTGGCCGTGGAACTGTGGACCAGCTCTATACCCTTGCAAGGGTGATGGAGGGGGCATGGGAGTTTGTCCAACCAATCCACGTGTTTTGTGGATTTGTAGAAGGCTTATGACCATGTCCCCAGGGGCACCCTGTGGGGGATGCTCCAGGAGTATGGGGTGGATGGCCTTTTGTTAAAGGCCATTCAGTCCCTTTACCAGAGGAGCGTGAGTTTGTTCTGCATAGCCAGTAGTAAGTCGGACCTTTTCCCGGTGAGGGTTGGACTCCGCCAGGGCTGCCCTTTGTCACCGGTTCTGTTCATAACCTTTATGGACCGAATTTCTAGGCGCAGCCGTGGTGTGGGGTGTGTCGAGTTTTGTGGCAGGAGAATCTTGTCTCTACTTTTTGCGGATGATGTGGTCCTCCTAGCTTCATCCAGCTTTGACCTTCAGCTCTTGCTGGGTAGGTTCTCGGCCCAGTGTGAAGCGGCTGGGATGAGGATCAGCACCTCCAAATCTGAGACCATGGTTCTCGACCGGGAAAGGGTGGCTTGCCAACTCCGGGTCGGGAGAGAGGTCCTACCTCAAGTGGAGGAGTTTAAGTATCTCTGAGTCTTGTTCAAGAGTGAGGGTAGGAGGGATCGGGAGATCGACAGGCGGAATGGTTCGGCGTCTGCAGTGATGCGGACGCTGAGCCGATCTGTCGTGGTGTAGAGGGAGCTGAGCCAGAAAGCCAGGCTCTCGATTTACCGGTCGATCTACGTCCCAATCCTCACCTATGGTCATGAGCTTTGGGTAATGACCGAAAGAACGAGATCGCGAATACAAGCGACCAAAATGAGTTTCCTCCATAGGGTGGCCGGGCTCAGCCTTAGAGATAAGGTGAGGAGCTCGGACATTCGGGAGGGACTCGGAGTAGAACCGCTGCTCCTCCGGATCAAAAGGAGTCAGTTGAGGTGATTTGAGCATTTGGTCAGGATGCCTCCTGGACGCCTCCCTGGGGAGGTGTTTCAGGCATGTCCTGCCGGCAGGAGGCCCCTGGGTCGACCCAGGACATGTTGGAGAGGTTATATCTCCAATCTGGTCCGGGAACGCCTTGGGGTCCTGCCGGAGAAGCTGGTGGAGGTGGCTGGGGAGAGGACGGTCTGGAGCTCCCTAGTTGGGATGCTGTCCCCGCGACCCGGACCCGGATAAGCGGAGGAAGACGACGACGAATATTCTAGACTCAAAGTGTCACACTCTAATCAGCAAATGAATCTAACACACCTGCAAAGGGTTCCTGAGCCTTTAGATGGTCTCTCAGTCTAAGCTGGGTTACTGAAAAAAATTTACTTTTGCATCATATTATAATTTTTGAGTTTCACCTGTACAGTGGCTAAAACAATAACTGTTTATAACTTTTACACAGAAACTTGTTCAATCAATCAAATCAATCAAAGCTTTATTTATAAAGCGCCTTCCGTGACCCTGTCGGGAAGCCCAAGGCGCTGAACACGGTGCATGAGAAAAGTGAAATATGATGAATAAATCGAAAATAAAAGCAATTCAAATATTACAAAAAAGGTAAAACGTTAAAGTAGAAGACAAATGGGTAAAACAAGGGATAAAGAGACCAATGAAAACAGGGAAATAAAATCAACATAAAAGAGAGCCAAATTCAAACACGTTCAGGGAATGCCAAGCGGAGGAGGTGTGTGTTTAGGTGACTCTTAAAGACTGGCAGAGATGGGGACAGCCTAACTGAGGGTGGCAACTGGTTCCAGAGTGATGGTGCTAGGACTGAGAAAGCCCAGTCCCCGCAAGTACACTTAGAATGAGGGACAGCAAGCAGGCCTTGGTCAGAGGAGCGCAGAGTGCGTTATGGGAAATGTCTGTTCAGGAGTGTGGCTAGATAGGGGGGAGCACCACCCTGGAAGAAATTGTAAACAAAGACGAGGAGTTTAAAGTGTGAACGATAACAGACCTGTACTTGTTTACAAGTACACAAACGTTGCTATTTAGTAGGTATCATAATTGTACATTAAAATGCAGCAAATGTTTCTATGATCAGAGGGAAAATGCAGCTACGATGCAAGTTAGCAGAGCTGCCCAAACAACGTCCTCTCAGGCAAAAAAATAAAATAAAATAAAAAGTAGGTGTTACTGAAGTCTACATCCAATTACAACACCAGACGCTCAGACGGGCCCAATTAGGCCCATATCACCATGGAAGATGACAAGGAGTGGGCGGAAAAACTAAAGAAAGGGGAACAAAAAAATAAAAAAACACCCAAGAGTCAAAAGAAAATATGTAAGGTAATATGGAGAAGGAGTCTAAAGTGATCAGTTGACCCTTTCAGCTGACTCTGAATGACTTTTCCAGATATCAATATCTGCATCTCCATATCCAGCAGACGTCAAACATGATGACAACCAGCGGCAGTCAAAGTCGGGCTTTCCCTCCTGCATGGAGGATGTGATGGGATTTCCTTCTGAATGCCAACATCTCGTCTACACATGCTAAAGGAACAGAGCGCTTTGCCAGGATGATTCAGTGTGGCTGTGACGGCCGTGCGGCAACAGAGACGAGACAGCTGCCAAGCTGTGAATGTAAACGTGCGTGTGTGATGGGAAGGAGTTGATATGCACACAAACACCAGGGTTAGGTGATGGTGTGTGACTGCTGAGCCATCATTTCATTTGGTGGTTATTAAGCTACTAATGTGTCTCAGGAAATATTAGATACATTATGTGGAATGATTAAGACACATAGCAGGTCTTTATGCAACTTTGAATGTGTGCGAGTTAGGTTGATAAGGGATTTCTTTCAACAAACTAAAAGCCTGCATCAAATAAATCATTCCAAAGTCATAATCTGACAAAATGCACAAACTTTTAACCTTCAATCTACATCTTATGAGTAGAACGACGAGCATGGAGGGTTCAAATCTCAAGCAAATTTTCAAAGAAAAAACCTGCAAACCGACAAAAATACACTTCAAGGATCCCATGTATCCACAAGGCCCTGACCCATATTCTTTAATCCTCCTCCAAGAGGGACGTGAGAGGCGTTCATTCCCTCTCATTCTTACCACGACTGCGGATGAGGGAATGTGTGTTTGTCGGGAAAAATAGGACCAGAAATAACAAAAGTGTCACATCACTCTTTCATCAAGGCTCGTATTTCAACATTGCCTTGTATCATCTGTGCTTTGCAGAAAGCATTGTGGCAGAAAATAAGCCTATTCATATGCAGAGTGATTACTGTGTGTGTGTGTGTGTGTGTGTGTGTGTGTGTGTGTGTGTGTGTGTGTGTGTGTGTGTGTGTGTGTGTGTGTGTGTGTGTGTGTGTGTGTGTGTGTGTGTGTGTGTGTGTGTGTGTGTGTGCGTGCGCGCGCGCGCGCACAGCATTAAATAGGTCTTGGTAATAAATCTGATGGCTGCTATCACAGTATAAATATAGCCAGGGGATTTGGCCATGTTAGAAGTTCCAGTTTCCTTGCGTCAGATGTTTTAGACGAAGTTCCTTAGCACAGAATAGCCCGGGAGTATATGGCACTGAATGAGAGCTATCATTTAGCGTGACATACCTGACCGCACCCAGGACAGTCGTTGCCATTCTCACAAGTTCTGCGGCGTGATTGGATGCCTCCGCCACAGGGCACGTTGCAGCGGTCCCAGGCCGACCAGGCCGACCAGTAAACATGTGGCGGGCAGGGCAGGTGTTCATTACAGTACCTGGGTGGGAACAGAAATAAAAAGGAAGACACAGAATAAGGGGTCTAGTTCTGTGTTTAAACTGTTATGTGATCTTTCTGAAATGTGACCTCAGCTCGCAATCTGGTGACAAAACAGCCATGACACCAACATGAAATTCAGAGTCCAGTAAAAAGAGCCTTTTAGGTGTTATCCTCTACATGAAAACCTGACATAGAATAGAAGAGAATAGAATAATCCTTTAATAGTCCCACAAGGGGAAATTTGGTTGTGTCAGCAGCAACATCACACATATACAAACAATGCAGGACACAGAACAGAAGCACAGTTATTACCTATTTACATCATGGACAATAGTTACCAGAGCAGAGTACAATACAGTTGTTTATATAGGCGCACACATAATGTGTAAGCATAGCAGGATACTGAAGATGTTAAAATAGTTTTAAAAGTTTAAGATGATTAAAAGAGTGCAGATTGTTTATTTTTTACCCATTCATTAAAAAGTAGACATGTAGCCTTTATGGACATTTATGGACCTGTAAGTAGTTTGGTGTTGGATCTGCGTTGTTGATCGAAGTAGCAAAAACTCCAAAACAGTGTATAAAATTAAAAGCAGACACTGTAGCTGTAATAAAGTTTGGAGTCAGCTTGTCAAGTGCAAATCCCAGACAAGCCCCCAGTTCTGATGAGACAACTAAAGTAGCTACAATAAAAGACAGAAAATTTAGTAGATCTAAATTAAATCTTAAAATTTGAACTTTAAAGTGAGGGTCAATGCCTGGGTGGGGACGTATTTCATCCACACTTCCTGTTAGGAAAACGCTTCTGAAAGAGGCGTTGTCTGGTGGACCGAGAGAGCGGCACTGACGCAGTGGTAGACACCCCCCCCCCCCCCCCCCCCCCGCATGTGCTATCGAGTTTCTCAGTCTAAAACTGAGTTGTTAATGAGCGCGTGCGCACTCCCGCGTGCACGCAAGCATGCACTCACACAAGACTTACCCCTCAGGATAATAGCAAACACAGATTCTGCAGCATTCTGGAGGGTTTTCTGTTAACCGCGATCATTTGATGAAAAAGGGGAGGAGGGCATTTTTTTCAAGGAGGCGAGCGGCTCAGAGAGCCAGCGTGTCATGTCGGCAGGTGAGTGGCTGAGCCAGGTAGAGGTGCGGCTGCCTCACCTGGAGACCAGTGCGGTGCAGCCACGTAGTACTTTGCTGACAACGTCACGTTTTTCAGCTCAGCCATCAGCCACAGCTGGTTCTACATAAATGTGGAGCAGAGTTTTAACCTGAAGATGGAGGTAGAATTACGGGTTTGGGCTGAAATTTTACATTTAGAGTAAGTTGCACTAAACGGCCACACTAATCATTACACATGTGTACAGCAACATTAGACACTCATCTATACAGGTTATCAGCAAAAAAAAAAAAAAAAGTTAATTTAGGCGTTACTTGCTCTTTAAATTATGTTAAAGTGAGACCAGGCAGTTTTGGCTTGCTTTTCGCACCCCCTAGTGTCCGTTTGTAGAACCACAAACAAAATCTCTTCGCTGTGCATTCGTCTTTTTAACACCTTAATCTAGAAGCTGAAATATCTCCCCAGCCTTCCTTAGTGTCTACAGGAGTGATTCATCACCACATTAAACAAATCAGCTGTGTTTGTGATCTAAAACATTCAGGAAATGTGCTGGAAGCAGACTGCTGCATCGGGCATGTTAGCTCCATTTTTTTCCAAGTGGAACATTCTGGCCAGATGGGGAGATAGGAAATGGGTGGCCTTTCTTCAACCCTATAAAGGGTCATTTCAGCACATACTGGTGCTGGTCTATGTTGTCATTTAGTATGCTGATAATACAACTACATCTAAGAATAGGATGTTAATGATCTAGCAACCTGATACTACTAGTTTAATTTATTCATGCTCCATACACCAGAGCTGGAGAAGGATTAATGCACATTGTAACACATATTTCCAACATTTGGATCCCAGTCTGTCAGACTAAGATTATGTCTTATGAATATATTATACCAAGTCGATCGGTTACTGTCTGACCTAGAAACTAGGGAACCTCCATTTTTGTGGATTTGTCAGAGGGGTACCTTGTTTGGCACTGGTGTCTAGTTAATTATGCTGCCAAAGAACAACATTATTGTAAAATAGGAGATAAAAAAGGACAATATAATGGCACTTCAGAAATGCAATCATTTTCTGCAGGTTCCCAATGAAAAACCGAGCAGCAATCGGGTATGAGATTTTTACTGCTATCACAAGTAGGAGTTTTTTCAGGACAGAATTTCACTTTTTATAGGGATTTTGTTTGGACCAAAAGAAAACCATGTTGGTGTCTGTACTATCCGTCATTTCGTGTGGAGAGTGAAATGTACTGAAAGATCGTAAAACTGTATGTAGGACAACTTCCATAACTGCCTCTGTGTATGAAATGTGATATAAAAAAGCATATTTATGCAATAAAACTGTTATTTTGGACTATGTGTGTAAATGTTGATAAAATCTTGAATTAACTGTAAATAAATAATGACGTATTTTACCATTTCACCCACTCATGTAACACAAAAGGCCTTAAAGCCAAGTTCACAGTTTTTTCAACACATTTGTTGTGGTTTCTACTATAAATGAATGCCTTGTGAGACGACCTCTGTACGAAAAATGCTCTCGAGCTGCTGTTACAGGTTAGCCAGAGGAGAGGTGAGCATAACACAGTAGGATGTAGAGTCTTAAGCCTCCTTTCCACAGGACGTAAACGTCTTAGCCACTGTTATAGTGATCGAGAACCTTTCCAGCAACGTGTAATGTTTTAGACACGTCCCAGAAGCAAAGGGATGCTATCATTACACATCAAATCTATCTTTTACACGCTATACTTCCAAAACACGTCAAATTTCACATTTCAGATCGGGCCAGACAGGAAGTCAAACACAGAAGTAGTGTAAAACATCTGTAAAATTCTGAAATCGGTGGTCCACACTTTCATCACTTCAAGGCTGGATTACTCTAACTCCTGCTTATATGGCATTAGTAAAGCAGCTCTCTCTAGACTTCGGCTGGTCCAGAATTCAGCAGCTAGGTTGCTGACTGGAGCTGACAGAAGACAACACATTTCTCCAATTCTGAAATCTCTCCACTGGTTGCCCGTGCAGTTCAGGATAAACTTCAAAATTATGCTTCTCACTTACAAATCCTTGAACCATCAAGCTCCTCCATATCTGTGTGAACTTGTCCATTACTACAACCCGCCGCGTGCTCTCAGGTCTGAAGATAAGCTCCTCCTAGCTGTTCCGAATGCACGTTTAAAAAGCCGTGGAGAAAGGGCTTTCTCTGTCTGTGCACCGAAGCTGTGGAACGCATTACCACTGCTAGTGAGGCTAGCACCAACAGCTAGCATTTTTAAATCACGCCTGAAAACTCACTACTTCAACCTAGCTTATACCACATAATTATGAACCTCACTTACATCTGCATTGTTTAAAAATGGACTTTACAATATCAACTTCCGTACTATTGAGGTTCTTTTTTAAAATGTTTTTCTAATTTTTTATTCTCCCTGTGTCTTATTGATTTTAGCTGTTAGTTTTGGGAATTTTGTTGTATTTCCTTTTTATCTTTTATCTGTGTTCAACATGTTTGTATAACGCCGGTTTAATTAACTAACATTTTTTGTGTACAGCGCCTTGTTTGGTTGTAATGCCTTGTGAATGCGCTTTATAAATAAAATTGGATTGGATTGGATTGGATAAAATTTCTAATAAAAGTTATACAGATAAAGGTACATCATTTCCTGTGAAATGCCCGTAGACGTTAAAAATTAACAGAAAATAAACCACAGACCTTTTAGGATACATGCAGCTGTCTTTCTGCTTGCTTTTTATTGTGTGAACTTCTGAAATCACGCGTGATTTTGTGACCTCACTTTATCAGCTGTGTGGAACGCTTTGGCTCCCGTTTCACGTCACAATTGCTCACGGGTAAAAAGCCTCCATTAGGTTACACGCCGCTTTCACATCCAGTGGAAAAGAGGCTTTACTCACTAGTATTTCCTGATTTTTGGACATCTCGCCTCTGATTGGCTACAACCAAAGCAACTCTTCTACTGCCTCTGTTCGCTATGCACAGTTGATGTTTTAGTGCTGCATGGTGGCGTAGTGGTTAGCACTGTTGCCTCGCAACACGAAGGTCGCAGGTTCGGAACTCGGCTGCGGCCTTTCTGCGTGGAGTTGCGTGTTCTCCCTGTGCATGCGTGGGTTTTCTCCTGAGTACTCCGGTTTCCCCCACAGATCACAACATGCCCTATAGGTTAAAAAAAAAATTGTAAGTCGCTTTGGGTAAAAGCGTCCGCTAAGCACATAAACATAAACATAAACATGTTTTATCTTCACAAATAACACAAGCCTGGTGGAGCTCTGCCATGTTGTGGAGTTGCTAATGCTAACAGTTAGCTTCTACTAGCCAGCACGTTCTGCTCTTGCCTGGCTGCAAAAATCAACAACAGCCTTCCGCATCGTGAGCCAAGATGGGCGAGTCCATGAATGCTAATTTTCAGTGTGACATAGATCTTTGTGTCTTTTTCTGACCAGTGTGTTTTCCCTTCTGTTTTCTATTGGTGACTAATGCAGGAAATAAGGGTAGAAGACTATTTTCACGTTCGGCCTGCATGTTAAACTCAGTGTGACCAATTGAATAAAAAAATAAGTGAAAAATATTGCATTCACCACTCAGTGTAACCCCTTTTTCTAGAAATGCTATAAAACCCAATAAAAGTATATCAATACACAGTTTTCTGTTCACTTCCTACTGCTTTATTAACAGTGTATCTATGTGATGTTTTTTTTATATTGTGTTATTTTCAGGATGTGCTCATTATCTTCAGTCGACTGAATAAAGACACATTTATTCCAAATGTCTGTTTTTGCATAATAATGGTATGCAGGCTTCATGGCTGCTTCTGAAATTGCATGGACCACATAATAGCAGGTTTCATATAAAAACACTGCATGTTAAGA